AATTTAATTAGATTATAGAAAAATTAATTTTTTTATATTATTACAATATACTCTAATTATCATATTAGTTGTAGTATAGTTTATTATTTATAGTTATTTATAACTTATTTAAATATATATATTTACAAAATAAATAGATTTTAATTTAGAAATTATATAATTTCTAATATTTCAATTCATATATCAATATAATATAATATTATTATTATTAATAATTACTAAATCTAGTAATTAAATAATAAAAATATTAAAAACAACTACTAATAAAACACAGAATATAAAAAAAATTATAATAAAACTATATTTTTTAATTAAATTTCGATAGTATTTGCAATGAATTTTACCGATGGATGTCCTCTATGTAATGGTATCGACAGACACAACACCGCCAGTCAATTGTTTAGTTACTGACATATTATCTGAAAAATTTAGTAATTAATTAATTTGTAATTTCATTATTATAAATGAATTAAAATTTTCAACAAAAAAAATTACTAATAAAACCTGAAATAAACCGTACGATGTCATCGACGGTAACTGTATGTCTGCCTAATTGTTTGCGCTGACTATATAAGCGCTTCGTCATTGATACTACCGATACTGTTGCTGACGATAACAACCACTGCCTTAGCAATGGACCAGTAGGTCAACAAAAACAAAGTTCAATCGATTCGGGACTCAATTTTTCGATGACAATCAACCGAACCAATTCTAATTAGTTCATTAATACGACCGGTTAGAAACGCCCGTTCCCAGTGGTCATAGTGTCCGATATCACCCGTACGATACCAACCGTCCGAATCAATGGCCTGTCTATAGGCTCTATCATTGTTCAGATAACCGACAAATAGATTAGCATTTCGGACACATATTTCGCCATCGGTTTCGGGTCCCAATAGTTCGCCACTATTTAGATCGACAAACTTGAGTTGACATCCCGGTACTACTTGTCCCTAAATTTCCGGCCAAAAACTTGCCGTCATCGCCATTATACGCGCCATAATAATAATAATAATAATAATAATAATAATAATAATAATAATAATAATAATAATAATAATAATAATAATAATAATAATAATAATAATAATAATAATAATAATAATAATAATAATAATAATAATAATAATAATAATAATAATAATAATAATAATAATAATAATAATAATAATAATAATAATAATAATAATAATAATAATAATAATAATAATAATTATTATTATTATTATTATTTTAAAAAATATGAAAACATTATTAGAAACACAAATAAATTATTAAAATAAAAATTTAGCATGCTAAATATTTATTTATTTTACAATACTAAATAAAATTTTATTTTAAAAAATTTTACCTAGATAAATAAAATGTTGGAAACAAATTTGTGTGGTTATAAAGTTAGTTTTTTTATAAAAAAACACAATTAAAATATATAAAGTACTTTACAATAATAATATTTTATAAATTATTTATTTTTTAATAAATGTTAATGTAATGCATTTTAAATACATTAGTAATGTTGCACTAAATAGTTGTAATAAATATTAATTACAGTATTATATAATATAATATTGATATTAATAACTCCATCTTTCAATGAAAATATTATTTTATAACTAATAACAAAATAAATAATATTATTATAAATATAATTTTTAACAAAAAAAATATTAATAGTATTTTATTTATTGATATATTCAATAATATAAAACAATTAATTGTTATATTTATAAGTTTATTTTAATCTACAAATAAATTATTATAATTAATAATTCAAGTGCACATTATATTTTTTTTTAGATAAATCGATTTTTTTTTTAAATTAAATATTATTATAATAATAATAATACTTAATTTTACATACAATTGATAATAGTGAAATAAAATAATTAAATTATTTTATAAATGATTTAGTTTATAACTATATTGTATTAAAAAAAATTAAATTATCTTTATTTATCAGAAAAATAATAATAATAATAATAATAATAATAATAATAATAATAATAATAATAATAATAATAATAATAATAATAATAATAATAATAATAATAATAATAATAATAATAATAATAATAATAATAATAATAATAATAATAATAATAATAATAATAATAATAATAATAATAATAATAATAATAATAATAATAATAATAATAATAATAATAATAATAATAATAATAATAATAATAATAATAATAATAATAATAATAATAATAATAATAATAATAATAATAATAATAATAATAATAATAATAATAATAATAATAATAATAATAATAATAATAATAATAATAATAATAATAATAATAATAATAATAATAATAATAATAATAATAATAATAATAATAATAATAATAATAATAATAATAATAATAATAATAATAATAATAATACAACAACACGACAACAATGATAACTATTTAAAATAAAATATCTAGAATCCACCATTTGTATTTTATAGTCCTAATAGGACCCAGGACAATCAAATAATATTGGATAGGGGTATTGATGTTACATTGGCCAAATTGATTGTCAAAAAATTAAATCTAACCACCTATCGGGTAATCGATTGCCTGGATAATTGGGGTCAACAAATTGGCCCGGATAATTGGACCGGTATTATTGGCATGGTACATAGAAATGTATGTATAATACAAAAAAAATAATYAAMTARATATACATAAWTAASTAGWWATACATAATTAACTAGTAATACATAATTAACTAGTAATACATAATTAACTAGTWATACATAATTAACTAGWWATACATAATTAACTAGTAATACATAATTAACTAGWWAWACATAATTAACTAGATATACATAATTAACTASWWAWACATAATTAACTAAATATACATAATTAACTACATATACATAATTAACTACATAAACATAATTAACTACATATACATAATTAACTACATATACATAATTAACTAAATATACATAATTACTACATATACATAATTAAATTTATTGATTTTTTATTAATATTAATTATCTTATATTTTTGTTAAATATTTTTTTTAAATTAGCAAGCTAATATTGGTTTCAGTGGTATTTCAATGCTTTATGAGCGATCATTAGATGTCGACTATACCATACCCTATTCAATAGATAAGACAACATTTACGGCACCCGTACCTAAACCAGATAATTATAATATTAAACYATTGAAAATGTTTKACATATATATATATTTGGCTATTATTGTTAACAACAATATTTGTTATGCACTTATTATATAATATTTAACAAATTAAATTAAAATTATTATTGAATCGTAATAATAATAATAATAATATTAATATATTGATAATCATAGCCATAATGTTTATGCAACTAATAACTAGAAAATTATTTAATACTTGACTAGCAATTAGTACATAATCTAGCAATATATAAATTATTGTTTGTATTAAAATAATTATTTAGTTAGGTTAAGTTTAAAACAATAATTATAGTTTTCAATATTTTTTTTATATAAAAAAAATATAACATTGATCATGCTAAACAATTTACAATGATGAATATTATCAACATTGTTACAAATAATTTATATATTTATAATAATTTTATAATTTTCAATTTTAATTAAATAAAATAATAATAGATAATAAACATATGTCTAATAATTATTAATAAATAATATTTATATAATCAATAATATTAAAGTAAATAGGTAAATATATAATATATAACAATTTCCTATTAATTATTATAAATAAAATTCAAATCTATAGAAACTTTACATTTATATTCTAGTCTATAATGTTTAAAATTATAATAAAATACAATTAAAATAGTATTTTATTATTATTTTATATTTTTTTTATGTTTAAATAAAACATTTACTTTTGTTTATGCATGTATTGTATAAATAAATTTGTTTTTATTTTTAAAAAATTATTTTACAATTTATTATCATTATGTATTATGTATGTAATACTTAGTATTGTATAACAATATAACAATAATACTATTGTAATAATTTAGTAAACATTTATATATCAATAGTCGATAATATTATTGTAAATATTTAAATATATAACAATTACCTATTAATTAGTATAAATAAAATTCAAATCTATGGAAAAAAAACTTTACATTTATATTTCTAGTCTATAATGTCTAAAATTATAATAGACTCAAATAAAATACAATTGAATAGTATTTTATTATTTATTTATTTATTTTTTGTATTCTCAATAAAACATTTACTTTTGTTTGTTAAACATGTATTGTATAAATAAATTTGTTATAATTAAAAATTAAATTTTAAAAAAATAAAAATTTTACATTTTATTATTATTATTATGTATGTTATATGTAATACTTAGTATTGTATAACAATATAACAATGATATTATTTTAATAATTTAGTTAAAATTAATATAGAGAATAATTTAATATATATATATAGTATATATTATAAATGATAAATATAATTTATTTTACTAAATATGATGATGTGTATTTTTTTAGAAAAAAATTAATTCAAATATTGTTTTTAATAAAAACTACTCTATTATATTTCAATTACTATTACATTTTTTCAAACTTTACAAAATTATTGAGTAATATTTTTAAAAAATACGTAAGTAATAAAAAAATTTATAGTATAGCTAGAGTTTTATTAAATTGTTAAAATAGGAAAATACTCGTAAATATTCCTTCAATTTTTGTTTAAAAATTATATTTATATACTGTATATTAACACATAAATTCTATTTTTAATTTAGTGATAAAATATTAGACTTGAGTTTAAACACTATCACTAAATTAAAAATATAATTTATGTGTTAATATACAGTATATAAATATAATTTTTAAACAAAAATTGGAGGAATATTTACGAGTATTTTCCTATTTTAACAATTTAGTATTTTTTATAGATCCCTAAATATAATCCATATGTTTAATAATATTGTTGACGTAAATAAAATTTTTAATTAATTATAAAAAAAAATATTTATTTATTTAGTAATTTGTTTGTAATAATATTTTATTCATTTCTATCCTCTTAATTAGAGTTAACATTGTTAAAAAAATAGTAAGTAAAAAAATTATACTAAAATTTATTGATAGTCTATTGATAAAAATCAAATAATTATATATGTTTTATATAAGAATATTTGATATTAAATATAACATTAATTATCAATTATTTTATAAAAAAAATATTGTATAAATAAAATATTAGCCGATCCCTAATAAAAATAAAAATAATAATTATTTTTTTTAACAATTATTATTTAGATCTAGACACCTCTAGTTATTAGTTTACTATAATATAATAATATAATAATTTTTATTTTCTATCTTAACTATAGATTAAATATACAAACAGTAATCAAAATATCATGATGATAATGATGATGATGATGAAGATGGCAATGCTGTTTGCTGTTTGCTGGCAAAATATTGTTTAAATAAGATAATAATAATAACAATAGTGTAAGTATATTTATATTTAGTTTAAATAAATATTTTAATACAAACAATAATTTTTTTAGGAAATATTTTATTAATTAAAAAATTCATATTATAATAAGTATTTTTATTTATATAACTATATAATTAAATTTTTTAACAATAGAATAATCTATTTATAATTTTATTTTCAGATATATATTTTGTAATATTATAATATAACAATTAAATAACAAATATGTTTTTTATATAAAAAATACAAATTATTATTATTATTATTATTAATTGTATTTAATAAAAATATCTATTATTTAGTAGACAGTATGTAGAGTAGATTAAAATAATTTTTAAATAAATAATTTTTAAAAATTAAAAATATATTAATAAATATATAGACTTTTTTATTTAATTATTTTAAATAAATATATTCAAATGTAACGTTTATAAAAAATAATTAGTATAAAAATATTTAGAAAGTTTTGTTAAATAATAAAAATCTAAACAAAATATATTCAAATAATATTGTAATTTATAGTTATTTTGAAATTATTGACTTAACGTTCATAAAATTAGATAATATTGTAATTGTATTTTTTTTTAAAATTAAAGTTAGTTTTTTTAGTTTAAAGTTAATTATAAGAATAACAATTATTAGGTAAAAATTAATATCTATAGAAAATATATTTTACTTTTATTTTTATTTAAATGATTAGCATAAAATTTAATTAGATTATAGAAAAATTAATTTTTTTTATATTATTACAATATACTCTAATTATCATATTAGTTGTAGTATAGTTTATTATTTATAGTTATTTATAACTTATTTAAATATATATATTTACAAAATAAATAGATTTTAATTTAGAAATTATATAATTTCTAATATTTCAATTCATATATCAATATAATATAATATTATTATTATTAATAATTACTAAATCTAGTAATTAAATAATAAAAATATTAAAAACAACTACTAATAAAACACAGAATATAAAAAAAAATTATAATAAAACTATATTTTTTAATTAAATTTCGATAGTATTTGCAATGAATTTTACCGATGGATGTCCTCTATGTAATGGTATCGACAGACACAACACCGCCAGTCAATTGTTTAGTTACTGACATATTATCTGAAAAATTTAGTAATTAATTAATTTGTAATTTCATTATTATAAATGAATTAAAATTTTCAACAAAAAAAATTACTAATAAAACCTGAAATAAACCGTACGATGTCATCGACGGTAACTGTATGTCTGCCTAATTGTTTGCGCTGACTATATAAGCGCTTCGTCATTGATACTACCGATACTGTTGCTGACGATAACAACCACTGCCTTAGCAATGGACCAGTAGGTCAACAAAAACAAAGTTCAATCGATTCGGGACTCAATTTTTCGATGACAATCAACCGAACCAATTCTAATTAGTTCATTAATACGACCGGTTAGAAACGCCCGTTCCCAGTGGTCATAGTGTCCGATATCACCCGTACGATACCAACCGTCCGAATCAATGGCCTGTCTATAGGCTCTATCATTGTTCAGATAACCGACAAATAGATTAGCATTTCGGACACATATTTCGCCATCGGTTTCGGGTCCCAATAGTTCGCCACTATTTAGATCGACAAACTTGAGTTGACATCCCGGTACTACTTGTCCCTAAATTTCCGGCCAAAAACTTGCCGTCATCGCCATTATACGCGCCATAATAATAATAATAATAATAATAATAATAATAATAATAATAATAATAATAATAATAATAATAATAATAATAATAATAATAATAATAATAATAATAATAATAATAATAATAATAATAATAATAATAATAATAATAATAATAATAATAATAATAATAATAATAATAATAATAATAATAATAATAATAATAATAATAATAATAATAATAATAATAATAATAATAATAATAATAATAATAATAATAATAATAATAATAATAATAATAATAATAATAATAATAATAATAATAATAATAATAATAATAATAATAATAATAATAATAATAATAATAATAATAATAATAATAATAATAATAATAATAATAATAATAATAATAATAATAATAATAATAATAATAATAATAATAATAATAATAATAATAATAATAATAATAATAATAATAATAATAATAATAATAATAATAATAATAATAATAATAATAATAATAATAATAATAATAATAATAATAATAATAATAATAATAATAATAATAATAATAATAATAATAATAATAATAATAATAATAATAAGAGGAGGCACAGTGGTGTAGTGGTTAGTGTGTAGGGCTAGTAGAGTAATGGAGAGTAAGATCGTGAGTTCGAGCCCTGATGTGGAAAGCAATTTTTCTGAGAAAAAAAAATTGTTTTAACTGTGCTTCCCGTCCCTGCCCAACCAACGCTGTTTAGGACGGCCAACTTAAGTAGTATGGGGAAAGCGGGGTGCTAAGTGAGGACGAGTTTCTGCCCGACCCGGGTATCGGTACTTCGGTATCGGTGCCCACCTGGGGGTACCCGCAAGGGTGCTCCCACCCGGGGGTGCCTGTAAAAAGGTGCCCCCACCCCGAAGGGACGTCCGCAAGGATGTCCCTTCACCCTTCGAGTAGTTACTCGTCCTCACACGCAATGGCCACTTTTGTTTCAAAAAAATAAAAATAAAAATCCTATTTCAACAAACACATGTTAGTGGTGAGAAATGGGTGGCAATAGACACATGTTAGTGTTGAGCTTTCTCTAGGGACCGGGACCCCGTAAAAAGGCCACAAAATATATAAATATGATTACACGTAGTCGTAGGAATAACGGGGGGTGTTCGGGAGGTACCCTCTCAAATAAATCCCGCGTTCAGCAGGTAGGCATTGACTGCTGTTCGTTAAGTATGCATCATATCCCACGCAGTGATGTGCTATGCGGGCAAAGCTGTGATGTAATGCGACCGCAGACTAGTCAACAAAATCAGACTAACCTCCAAAATGTTTCAGTTCAAGCTGGTTCTCAGCAACAACTGACCAATTTGGTTGACAAATCGCAAAAGCGCATGAGATGGACACATGAGATGAATACCTTGATAATGCGCGAATACTACAGATCAACTCGACTCGAAACAAATATGACTGATTACAGAAACCAAATATACTTAGCATTCAAACAAAAATATCCAGAACTAAATGTAACGGAACAAAGAATTGCAGACCAACGGCGATTCTTAGCAAAGAATAATAAAATATCCCCGATTGAATTACAAGAAATCAAACAACAAGTGGCACATGAACTATCATTAAATGAAACAACTGAATTAAATACCACAGTAGAAGTAGTGCCAGAAATAGAAGAGACACCTACAACAACAGATAACATAAACAATACAAATGATGAAATAAAAAGAATAACAGCAGAAAATGAACTAAAAACATCTTTAGAACAATATAAAGACTTTGAAATAGAATTCAGACCTAAATTACCAAAAATAAGAAGTGGCATTAAAACAAGATCTACTATAATAACGATAAATGATATACTTAAAGATTACATCGAAGAAAATATGTCGTTGAGCGCAATTAATACAATAACGTATTGTGCAGCAGTAGCAGTATCGAGACTCTTAGGCTACAAAATAGAACACATGGCTACAACAAAACCAAATCAAGAAAATGTAATACCTAAATGGCAAAAGCGAATAGAGACACGGATAGAAGGGAAAAGAAAAATAATTGGAAGAATAACGCAAGTGTTAAATGGAATCAAATCAAAAAGACTTAACCAATCATTAAAAGATATATACAGATCATTACAGACAAAACCTGGAAAACCTGAATTTGAATCCATAATCCGAAATTACAACGACACATTAAAACAAACAGTTCAAGCACTATCACAAAGAATTAGAAGATATAAAATACAAAGCGAAAGACGAAAACAAAATACAATGTTCTATAATAACGAAAAAATGTTCTATAGAAATCAAAATAAAATAAATTCAAGCAATAATAACAATACACCACAAATAGATGAAATAGAAAACTACTGGAAAGAAATCTGGAGTAACCCAAAGGAATATAAAGAATCTAATTGGATAAATGATATTGAAGATGAAAATAAAGAAATACCACATATGACTTCAGTAAATATAATTAAAGATGACTTAACCGAAGCCCTCAATAAATCCCACAATTGGAAAAGCCCAGGACAAGACAAAATACAAAACTTCTGGTATAAACACTTTACAACAGTTCATCAACCAATGGCAATAGCAATGAATAAAATAATACAAACAGGACAAACCGATGACTTCCTCACTTCCGGAATAACATATCTACTCCCAAAAACAGAAAATACATCAGATCCCAGCAAATATAGACCAATCACTTGCCTAACAACAATGTATAAAATCCTAACATCCATAATATCAACAAAAATATATAATCATTTAAGTAACAACAACATAATAGCTGAAGAACAAAAAGGCTGTATAAAACACTCAATGGGTTGTAAAGAGCAATTAACAATAGACAATATCATAACAATAAGAGCTCGTCAAAAACATAGAAATCTTGAAATGGCATACATAGACTATAAGAAAGCATTCGATTCAGTCCCTCATAAATGGTTATTAAGAGTGTTAAAACTATATAAAATTGACAACACACTGATAAACACATTAGAAAATATGATGAAAAAATGGAATACTAAATTGTGTGTCAATACAAATAATGGAACAAAAATAAGTACAGAAATCAAAATAAATAGAGGAATATTTCAAGGAGATTCACTCAGTCCTCTGTGGTTCTGCTTAGCTATAAACCCACTGTCATCACTACTTAAAAAGCTAAAAGGCGTAAATCTAAAATCAAGTGATACAAAATATAATCTAACACATCTACTATATATGGACGACTTAAAACTATACGCCGAAAAAGAATCTGATTTAAATGCAATGCTAAAAACAACAGAAACTTTCTCCAATGATATAAATATGGAATTCGGATTAGATAAATGTGCTATAATGAAACTGAAAAGAGGAGTCTATTCTGAAAGAAATCAATACGAAACTGAAAACGGATATATAAAGGCACTAGAAAATGGAGATATATATAAGTATTTAGGAATTAAGCAAATGCATAAATCTAAAATGACAGAAGTTAAAGAAGAAATAAAGAAAACATTAAACCAAAGAATAATAAAAATACTAAAATCTCAACTAAACTCAAACAACAAATTCAAAGCCATAAACACTTGGGCTATACCTGTACTGACATACTCGTTCGGAATAATAAAATGGAGTAAAACAGAACTTGAGACCATTGAAAGACATATAAGGCGACAACTTACAATGTTTGGACTACACCACCCTAGAAGTTCTGTAGCACGACTGTGTGTTAGTAGAAAGCATGGGGGTAGAGGGTTACTAAACATTGTAAGCCTTGAAGCCAAACAGCGAGAATTGCTGAGAAAATACCATCAACAAAAATGCAATGTCTCAGAGCTCCACAAAATAACATCAACACTTGATTACAACTACACACCTCTAAATCTCAGCAATAATGAACATCAAATAGAAATACAAAATGAAAAAGAGAGGATTAACACATGGGCCTCAAAAGAACTCCACGGTAGATACAGAGCAGAACTCAACCAAACACACGTAGACGAAGAAATGTCTACAAAATGGTTGAAGTACGCCGGTCTTCATGGAGAGACAGAGGGGTTCATGATGGCAATACAAGATCGAGTGATTCCGACACGAAACCATCAGAAATACATCCAAAAGCTAAATATACCAACAGACAAGTGCAGGATGTGTCATATGGAGTCCGAAACAATAGAACATATACTAAACGGGTGTAAAGTACTCACAAACACCGAATACCTAAGCCGTCACAACCAAGTAGCCAAAATCATACATCAGGAATTGGCAATAAGATTCGGACTAACCAAAGAACCATTACCATACTATAGATACGAGCCACAAAGTGTAATGGAAAGCAACAGAGCCAAGCTCTACTGGGATAAAGAAATAAGAACAGATAAGACTGTGGCCCACAACCGCCCAGATATAGTACTAGTAGACAAACATCAAGATAAGGCGTACATAATAGACATAGCGGTCCCACTAACACACAAA